GAGTAAGTGCCGCGGCGTCGTACCAGTACCAGCTGACAACGACGACCTCTCGGACTCCCCTGAGATCGCCACCAGTGCTGGCGGGTCCAACTCCAACCACCCCACCGTTGAGGCGATCGTCCATGCTGACACCGTTCTGCTGAAAATATGCTGCAAGGACAAGAGAGGAGTGCTAGTGGTGGTACTCTCCGAGCTCGAGAAGCGCGGCCTCTCCATTCTGGACACCAGCGTCTTGCCGTTCACGGATTCGTGCCTCAACATCACAATCATTGCCAAGGCAAGGCTCCCTTTATCTCCTTCATTCAGGTTTCCGCAGGGAAATAAACAATGTTTGTTGCGACACACCACATCTACATTACGTCATTACGTGGTCTTTAACTGTAGAATTGTTGTCCTGATTTGGCACGATAAGAAATTTGAACTGTTTTTTGTTTTGTGCAGGTAGGAGAAGGGTTTTCGAATACAGGTGACCTCGTGAACAGCCTGACCAAGGCTATTAGAGGGTTCATTAGAAAAGAAAGGAAACAGAAGTGAGTGCTTGTGAAGTGGTCAGATCCTACTATGTTATCTGAAGATTGTGATTTTATTGGCCTAATTTGGCGGAGTAAGCACATACAAAATCAAAACGGCACAGCAAGGAGCAATTAGAATTGTTATAAAACTTGCTTCTGCAGAGAACAGGAAACAATCGAACATCTTTTCTTGGTTTGCCACTATTTTTTGGATGGCACCTCCTTTCAATACAAACTATGTATATAACGTTTGGTAAAAAAAAAATCTTGGGGAGGAGGGAGGGTTTTTGTTGGAAAACACAATTTAGGTGGTGGTGCAGCTTTATGTTGGGCTTGGGTCAACGTAGGTCGTCTATGTTGGGCTTAGGTCAACCTAGGCCTATGTTGAGCCTATGTTGAGCGATTTGGGTATCTCAAAAACAAAAATGGCCCACATATATTTGGGATTAAGTCCACTTTTGGCCCCTCAACTATCATGTTGGTCTAATTTTGACCCCAACAACAAAACCGTCTGATCCAGGCACCTCAAGTTTGAAAACCGTTCACTTTTAACACCTGGCCGCGGATGAGGCTGTTTTATCCAACGTGGAGCAGTTTTGTCCGATGTGGGGCCCACGCGTCATCGACTCAACCGAACTGCACCGTCGTAGTAGCAGCCGAGGTTGATGCCGCCAATGGGGATGGAGACTTCCTTCTCGCCGTCGATGCCGAGCGCAGCCACACCACCATGCCCGACGGAACTCGCGTCTGCCCCGGCTCGCCGTGTTCGCCCTCTCCGCTGCCGGATCTCATCGTCGTCCCTCACGACGCGCCCCAAAGATCGTTCGCACTCGCACAACATGGTGGCCGCAACCGTCCCCCCATGGCAACGCCGACGGCAGAGTGAGGAGCCCGCATGGATCTCCCGGCGAGCACCGGCCGCATGGAGGCCGCGATGCCCACGACACTCCCCAAGAAGCGCGCCGTCGTCCATGCCGCCGCTGCGCGTCGTCTGCACACGCGCCACTACCCGTGGAGCCCGGCTCGTGCATGGATGCCCCGCGACGCCGTCGCTTCATGAGAGAGGGACGAGCCGCCCGGGCGAGGTTGTTCGTGGGGCTCGCCGCATCCGACTCCTTCACGCTTTCTTCCGCCCGGTTCGCGCCAGATCCACATGGCTGGCTCGACGCCGGCTTGACGATATCTGCCCGGTTCGCGCGCGCTGCGCCGTTGCATGCGGAGCTCGCGACGGTCTTCACCAGGCCGCGCCGCATGAGCTTCGCCCATCCTCGCCGCCGTCGGAGCTCGAAGCCGCCGAGCACTTCACGCCACGCTTCGCCGAAGCCCGCGTCGTCGAGCGCGCATCGACCTCGCCACCGGCGGCACCGTGATTGAGCCGAGCATCGCCGGAGCCGCCCGAGCCTTGACTTGCCGCAACGGCCGCACGGACGAGAATCCTACCGGAGCCACGCCGCCGAGCCGAAGCTCCTACCGTCACTCTGCTCTGCTCTCCTTGCTCTGCTCCTCTTTTACCCTCTGTTCCTCGCCATCGCTCTGCTCTGCTCTGCTCCTCCCTCCTGCTTTCTCTCTCTCGGACAGACAGAGGAGCCGTAGTTTCCATCGTGCGTGTCGGATCCCGTGCGCCTTCCTCCCCATCGCCAGCAGCTTCCCTTCCCACGCGCGCCCGACCCTGCGGCCTCGACCGCTGGACGCCTTCAAGCTACGGCTGTGGCCGCTGCACGCCTGCCTCCCCACGCGCGCCCGCTCAACGCCGTGGAGGTCCGGCCGCGGCCTTGACGCCATGGTGCTCGGCCAGGCTGGGCGCTTTGCCACGCCCGCTTGCCGCTCAACGCCGTGGAGGTCCGCCGCCGCCCGGCGCGGCAGCTGCTGGACTCACGCGGACGCGGCCGGAGCTCTCGCGACGCGCATGCGGATAGGGGCGCGCCGCTTTCGCCGCGGCGGAGCTTCGCCCATCTCGTCTCCGTCTCCGTCTCCTCTGCGCTTCGTCCTCCTCCTCCTCGGGTGCTCCTACGCCGCCGGCAACGGATCCGGCAGGGGTGGTGAGGATCTTGTGCTGCGCATCGCGGAGGATGAGCAGGTCGTGGGACCGCATAGCCTGGAGTGGAGTCGCTGCTGGAGTCGCCTCCGCAGCGGGGCGGCTGCTGCGATGGCAGCTGCGATGGCGTCATGCGAGCTGTTGGCGTTGCCGCTGCGAGCAGGCGCCGCCGCCGTCGCTGTGGTCCCGCGGACTCCCAGCCATCCCGGCGCGAGCGGGGGCCCCAGCGGCCGCGATGGCCCGGTGCAGGCGGGGTGCGGGCGCGGCTCCGGTCCAAGCCATCCCTTCGCGGGAGGGTGCCCCAGCGGCCCCTGCGACCCCATCGCCGCCAGCGGTGCGGGCGGCACATGGCTCGCCACGGCGCCCATTCCGCTATGTTGGTTGCTCCCTACCCCTACGCCGCGCTTAATAAGGAGGCGAGCCTGCACACGGCTCCTTGCTCGACCTCCCGCCTCCTTCTCACCTTCCCCGCCGCCGTTGCGCGGCCGTGCTGCGCCGCTGCAGCAGGGCCTGCGCGTGTGGCCAGCGTATGGCGAGAGTGGAGTCTTCCACATGGGCACCGTTGGCCAACAGCTCTAAATTCCTGTTTTGACCCGTGCGTCCGTCGGTCAACGCCAGCGTGGCGAGTTAAAACCAGGCACACGTCAGCACAAACCGCCTCAATCGCACCGAGGTGTTAAAAGTGAACGGTTTTCAAACTTGAGGTGTCTGGATCAGACGGTTTTGTAGCTGATGGTCAAAATTAGACCAACATGATAGTTGAGGGGTCAAAAGTGGACTTAATCCCATATATTTGATACACAAAGCATCTACTTTGTTCAAGTACGTGATGTCACAGGCCAATATTAACGGGTGTTGTAGGTCTTTTTAACAGTATGTTGACCAATTAATATATATATCTTGGATTCCTAGACATACGTTGGGCCTTGTTACCTCAAAAGACTTCTATATTTTCCATGTGACCGAATACTTCCAGAGCTGAACCAATCTCTAGTTTGTTGTAGTTGTTAGCCAAAGTACAGGCTGTTTGTTATAGATAAGATTGAGTATGAACATTGTTACTGGCATATCTATAAGCTACGGTGAGGGTTGTTCCCATCTCATATAAACAAAGGCACGCGACCTCCTGCTGAAGGTAACAACGCTTCCCCAACTTAGGTGATTGCTTTCATGGGATTAGAGTCACCTCCCAAACCAAAACACATATAGCTCTCAACCATGATCTCAAACAACGATGGCGAGTTCTTCAGCGGCCCTCCCCTCGCCACTGCTTTGGACAAGTGGTCTTCAAGAAGCTATCAAGGGCAACTATACCCTATGGAAAGCCCAGGTGTTGCCTGTGCTATGAGGAGTGTGCAGCTCAAGGGCTATCTAGATGGCACCTATGCTGCACCTCCTGCTAAGATTGATGGCAAGGAGGGTGCGGTGCTAAGGTGGTCAAAGTGGCCAACCATGCGTACCTCCAGTGGAAGGCGCTCTAGGAACAAGTTCTTAGCTTCCTGAGTCCTGACGACCTCGCTGATGAGAGATGTTCTCGCTCAGGCCGCAGGCCTGACTTCCCTACACGGAGTCCAGGATGTCTTGGTGCAGATATATGCGTCACAGTCAAAGGCGCATGCAGTAAACACTACAATCGCACTCGCGAACACCCAAAAAGGCAATGTGTCAGTTGTTGATTATGTTGGGAAGATGAGATCACTTGCGGATGAGATGGCATCTGCGGATCAACGCATTGGCAATGAAGAGATCGTCTCCTAAGTCCTTGCTAGCCTTGGCTCTGACTATGAGTCAATTGTAACGGCTATCGTCGCACGGGTCGAACCGGTCTCGGTGGCTGAGTTGTTCTCTCAGCTGCTGGGCTGAGTGCTGACAAGATCTTCATTGTGGTGGATCACCCCTGGCCCTTATTTGCCAACTCTGCCAGAAATGTTAATAGCAAACTCAAACAAGTGAGAGTGGTGTTGGTGTAAGCCTGCTGATGGACGATGTGGAGCAGCGTGGAGGCAACTGTGATGCAGCAAGGTGTTTGAATTTGATTTCGGCCTGGAGCGGGAACGGTTGACACGGCAAGGTGGTGACCGCGCCCACAGAGTCAGTTTCAGCAGGAGCGTGTGTTTGTGGTGAGTTTGTATCCCGTGTTTAAAGTTTGTAAGGGTGTTATCGTCTTTATTAGCTTGTGGTATAAATAGCTGGTTGTAAGAGGAGTGGGTTAGCGCCTCTGTTGAGTTGTAACTCGTGTTGTACTCGAACTTGTGTTGAGTGAAAAGGGGCACTGTCATCCCTGTTGACAGTTGCCAGTTCAGGGGTACGTTCATGTGTGTTCTTGCTCGTTTGCGTGCACGATCTTGATTTAGGCATAGCCACCATGTAAATTTGTGTGTGATTGATTGATCCTGGCCATCATTTGGTATCGGAGCCGATCGATCGCATACAAACGCGTTGAGTGATCAACCATGGGAGATCGCGGGAGTGGCGGCGGAGGAGAAGGCGGCGGCCGGATCCAGTACCCGCCCCTGACCTCTACCAACTACACTAGTTGGAGTATCAGGGTTCAGGCGATCATGGAAGATCAGGGCGTGTGGGAAGTGGTTGAGCCGGCGGGAGAATCGTCGGATCAAGGCGCAGCGGCGGTTGCGGCGAGGAAGGCGAAGGACACCAAGGCACGGGCGCATCTGCTCCAGTGCCTGCCCGATGACTTGTTGATGCAGGTCGCCATGAAGAAGACCGGGAAGGAGGTCTGGGACTCGCTCAAGGCGAGATTCGTGGGGGAGGAGCGTGTCAAGGAGGCGAGATTGCAGACGCTGAAGAGCGAGTTTGATGGATTGAGGATGAAGGATGATGAATCGATTGACAGTTATGCAGGAAAACTGACGAGTATGTCAGTGAGATATGCTAATTTGGGTGGATCGCTGGATGATGCAGCGTTGGTGAAGAAGATGTTTGACACCGCGCCGGAGAAGTACATCCATGTGATCGCCGGATCGAGCAGTTCTTTGACCTCAAGAAGATCGCCTTCGACGAAGCTATCGGTCGGCTCAAGGCATTTGAGGAGAGGACCAAGCGGGGAGCAGGAGGTTCTCGGTCAAAGCCCGGCCAGGTGCTGTTGACACAAGCTGAGTGGGAGGCTCGGCAGAAGAAGTCCACTAGAGAGGGATCTAGTGGTGGAAGGAGTCATGGCGGTGGCTGTGGATGGGGTCGTGGCCGCGGCGGTGGAAGCAGTGGGCGCGGCAGTCATGGCGATGGTGGCAGAGATGGCGCGGGGAAGCATGACAAAAGCCACATCAAGTGTTTTAAGTGCCACACCTATGGACACTATGCCAACAGGTGTCCAGGAGGTGGTGAGAAGAAGAAAGAAGAGGAGGCACATCATGTCAAGAAGGTGGAGTATGAGCCTACAGTTTTGCTTGCTGAAACGGAGGAACCGGGACAGCTCAAGCATCTGTTGTCGGAAAACAGTCAGGCTGAGGAAGTGTGTTGTCTGAATGATGGTGAACAGTGTATGCAGGAGGAACTGTGTCTGAATGAGATTCATCTCGATTCAGAGTTGCTGTTTGCAGGTGCTGACAAGTCATGTGGTGATCTCTGGTACCTTGATAATGGTGCTAGCAATCATATGACAGGGGATCATCAGAAATTCAGGAACATTGACACCACCATCGGTGGCAAGGTACGTTTTGGTGATGGCTCAGCAGTTGAGATACATGGTAGAGGTTCCATTTTATTTCAAGGCAATGCTGGTGATCAATGGTTACTTAGTGATGTTTACTTCATTCCTAAGCTCAAAAGTAATCTCATTAGTTTGGGTCAGTTAACTGAAATTGGCTATAGAATAGAGATGGATGAGAATTTGATAGAAGTAACAGAGAAGAGTACCATGAGAACCATAATGAAAGTGCAGAGGTCTGGGAATAGGCTGTACAAAATTGAACTAAAGACTGTGGAACCAGTGTCCTTTCTAGCTAAAGTAGATGATCATTCTTGGCTTTGGCATGGTATATTGGGCCATGTAAACTTTGAGTCCATTAAGATGTTGGTTGAAAAAGAGATGGCAGGGGGTTTACCTTTGATCAAGCATCCAGATCAAGTTTGCCATTCTTGTTTAGCTATAAAATAGACTAGAACATCATTTCCAAAATGCTCAAGATGGAGATCAGATGAACCATTAGAACTGATTCATGTTGATTTATGTGGTCCTATTACTCCTGAAACTGTTGGTGATAATAAGTATTTCATGCTGTTAGTAGATGATTGTACTAGATGGATGTCAGTCTCAATTCTGAAATCTAAGGATCAAGCCTGTTCTGCATTTGTCAAGTTTAAGGCAGAAGCATAAAACTCTTTGGGTTACAAAATTAAAATGGTGAGATCTAATAGAGGTGGTGAGTTTTTAGCAACAGCTTTTAGGGATGTTTGTGAAACTGCTGGAATCAAAAGGCAATTCACAGCACCCTACTCACCACAGCAGAATGGTGTGGTTGAGAGAAGAAACAGGACTGTCATAGAGATGGCTAGGTCTATACTGAAGGGCATGAGTGTACCAGGGTGTTTTTGGGGAGAAGCTGTAAGGCACTCTGTGCATTTACTTAACAGGTTGCCAACAAAGGTTATGGGGTATAGAACACCATTTGAGGGATGGTGTGGGAGGAAACCACAACTTGGGCATATGAGAGTGTTTGGGTGCAGAGCTAATGTGAGCCCAGCAGTGCCTCATCTGAAGAAATTGGATGACAGGAGTGTTGGCATGGTTTATTTTGGTGTGGAGGAGGGCAGTAAAGCACATAGACTGTATAATCCTCAAACCAAGAAAATAGTAGTCAGCAGGGATGTCATCTTTGAAGAAGCAGTAGCTTGGAATTGGAGTTCAGAGTTTGGTGAAAACTCAGAATTTATTGTTGAAGAAAATGATGAAAACATGTTTCAACCATGGACTAGGGGACAGTTTGGTGGTGGTCATGTTGATGGAGATAATCACAGTGATCATCATTCAGGGGGAGCTGATGATGGTCACCAGTTTGATGCACCTAGTGGAAACAACTTTGATGGTGTAACTGAAAATTCAAGTGGAACAGGAGAGAACTCACATTCAGGTTCTGTTCACAGTCAGGCAACAGGAGCAACAGCATCAGAAAGTGTAGAGACAGGAGATGTACCTGCTGAGATGGATGTTGATGGCACTGTGGATATTGATGATGGACCTATGAGATTTAGAAACTTGAATGAAGTATATCAGGATTCAGTGGAAGTAGAACTGAACTATGACAGTGAAGTAGAAGCACTGATGGCAGTCATGGAGGAACCAACTTGATACCAGGAGGCAGCTAGTGATGGGAACTGGATAGAGGCCATGGAGAGTGAGATTCAGTCCATCAATAAGAACAAAACATGGGAGTTGGTGAAATTACCAGCTGGTCACAAACCTATAGGCTTGAAATGGGTGTTTAAATTGAAAAGAAATGCAGAAGGAGAGGTGGTGAAGTACAAAGTCAGACTTGTTGCTAAGGGCTATGTTCAGAAGAAGGGAATAGACTATGAAGAAGTTTTTGCACCTGTTGCAAGGCTAGAAACAGTCAGACTAATATTGGCTATGGCAGCAAACAGAGGGTGGGAAGTACATCACCTTGATGTGAAAACTGCATTCTTGAATGGTGAGCTCATAGAAGATGTGTATGTAACACAACCTGAAGGTTTTGTGAAGGAGGGGCAAGAGCAGATGGTGTTTAAGCTGAGAAAAGCTTTATATGGTTTGAAACAAGCTCCTAGAGCTTGGAATGTAAAGTTGGATAGCAGCTTGAAGAAGCTTGGGTTCCAGAAGTGTGTGACAGAGCCAGCAGTGTATACTAGAGGCAAGGGACTGTCCAAAGTAATTCTTGGTGTGTATGTAGATGACCTTATTGTAACTGGTGGTGATCTAAGAGAGATTGGAGTCTTTAAACAGCAGATGACTTTTGAGTTTGAGATGAGTGACTTGGGGATGCTGTCATTCTATCTTGGAATAGAGGTTGAGCAGAGAAAAGACTACATCACCATAAAACAGACAGGTTATGCCAAGAAGGTGCTTGATCAGGCTGATTGTAATGCAGCAAAGTTCCCTATGGATCCTGGTGCAAAGCTGGATACAGATAAGCAAGGGGAGAGGACAGATGCAACTAGATACAAGAGAATCATTAGATGCCTGAGATATTTGTTGCACTCTAGGCCTGACCTATCTTTCTCTGTTGGTGTGGCAAGTAGGTTTATGGAAAAACCTACTATCATGCATTTCAATGCAGTGAAGCAAATCCTGAGGTACTTGAAGGGGACACTGAACTTTGGTTTGGGTACACTCAGGAGATGAAGCAGGAGGTGTTGGTGGGTTACACTGACAGTGATAGTGGAGGAGATGTTGTGGGGAGGAGAAGTACAGGTGGCATGGCTTTCTATCTCAATGATGCATTGATCACCTAGAATTCCCACAAGGACAAGACAGTAGCACTGTCATCCTGTGAAGCTGAATTCATGGCAGCAACTGCAGCTGCCAAGCAAGCTTTATGGCTTAGAAATCTATTGGGAGAAATCATAGTAACAGAACCAAGGGTAGTGACTTTGTTTGTGGATAACAACTCAACCATTGCATTGATGAAGAACCCTGTGTTTCATGGCCGCAGCAAACACATAGATGTTAAGTTTCACTTCATCAAAGAATGTGTAGAGCGTGGTCAAATCAATGTGAAGAAGGTGAACACTCTTGATCAGAAAGCAAATGCACTGACAAAGTCTATGTCTGCAATCAAGCTATCTGTGATGAGACACTTGCTCGGTGTCCGAGAAATTGAGGATCAACAGACTTAAGGGGAGATTGTTGGTGTAAGCCTGCTGATGGATGATGTGGAGCAGCGTGGAGGCAACTGTGATGCAGCAAGGTGTTTGAATTTGATTTCAGCCTGGAGTGGGAACGGTTGACACGGCAAGGTGGTGACCGCGCCCACAGAGTCAGTTTTAGTAGGAGCATGTGTTTGTGGTGAGTTTGTATCCCATGTTTAAAGTTTGTAAGGGTGTTATCGTCTTTATTAGCTTGTGGTATAAATAGCTGGTTGTAAGAGGAGTGGGTTAGCGCCTCTGTTGAGTTGTAACTCATGTTGTACTCGAACTTGTGTTGAGTGAAAAGGGGCACTGTCATCCCTGTTGATAGTTGCCAGTTCAGGGGTACGTTCATGTGTGTTCTTGCTCGTTTGCGTGCGCGATCTTGATTTAGGCATAGCCACCGTGTAAATTTGTGTGTGATTGATTGATCCTGGCCATCAAGTGGGGCTAAAAACCTAGAATAAGGGGCTATCAAACTTTAGTAAGCTCATCCACAATTGCAATTGGGTCCTTCTAGATGTCCTAGAAGATGAAAGACCTTTCTCAAGTTTAGAACACCTCCTCATCAGACACCTTGTCAAAACCCACTAAGCCAACCTTCTAGAAACCAAGAGAATCTACTGGAAACAAAGAAACACTATAAGATGGGTCAAACTCGGGGTTGAGAATTATACAAGTTACTTCCAAGCGATGGCTACCTACATGCCCATAAAAAATCACATTGTGAGCATAATCACCTATGTTGGGAAACTATTGTTGGACCATGAACAAAAAGCCAATATTCTCTAAGAAGCCTACAAAAACAGGCTAGGGGTCAGTGTCCATCCCTCTAGATGGCATTGGAACAGGTTTCACCGTGGAAGAAATAAACCAGGTCATTAAAGAAATGTGAACTAGCCACACCCCGGGACCAGATGGTTTCAATGGGCTTGTCATTAAGAAATGCTAGACAATCATCAAAGAAGACTTCCAAAGGATGTATATAGATTTTTCCAATGGCAACCTAGATCTTGGCAGTATTAACAGCTTATTTATCACTCTGATCCCCAAGAAAAGCAACTCTGAAACTATTGATGACTACATGCCAATCTCTTTGTTGAATTACTCCATGAAAAACAATTACCAAGTTGATGTCAACTAAACTCCAAGAGGTAATCCCACAACTAGTGCATAGAAATCAGTATGGGTTTGTCAAAGGTTAAACCATGCAGGACTGCCGAGCTTGGACCTTTCAATTTCTACACCAATGCCACCACTCTAGAAAACTAATTGTCATCTTGAAACTTGACTTTGAAAAGAGCTTTCATAAATTGGAACACCATGTAATCTTCAAGTCTTGATGCACAAAGGCTTCCTAAAAAATGAATCAACTGGATTGAATGTATCCTCAACTCAGGGACCTACTCGGTCCTCCTTAATGGAATTCCATGTAAAAGTTGACGGGGATCCTTGTATTTTTATTTGTTTTTCATCTAGATGTATACTTTAGGTGTTGAAAAAAAATGGTCAGTGACACTGTCCCAATTGTTAGCCAATCCCTGAACCGACTAAGGGCCTGTTTGGCACAGCTCACAATAGCTTCATGAGTTGTTGTGAGCTGTTTGTTTTGTCAAACACCTTTTCTCAAAACAGCTTTATTATTGGAACTGTTTTTTATCCCTTCTCACAAAGGGATGAGTTGGGACGAAGCTGAAATAAATAGCTTATTCTAGCTTTATCTCCTAATTATGTGGGCCCCACTGTGCAAAAATACAGCTTTTGCCCCAGAGAGAGAACACTCGTGGGGACGAGGGAAGGCGACGCGACGAGGCCGACCGGAGCGCTGTCGCCGGAGCATGGCCGCCGGGGCGTCGGCCGCCATGGGCGCAGCTCACTCGGGGTGCCGCCCGCCTAGGCTCGACCGCCGAGGCCGGGGGCTCGACCGCCGGGGCTGGGAGCGCGGCCCACCAAGGGTGCGGGTCGCCAGGAGCGCGGCCTGTGGGGGCACGGCTCGTCGGCAGCGTGGCCCACTGGGGGCGCCGCTCACATGGGCGCGGTCTCCTGGGGTGCCGGACTGGGACTGGAGCTCGCTGTGGCGCGGTCTTCTGGGGCGTCAGGGCACCGGGATTGGGACTAGAGCTCACCGGGACTGGGGCTGGGACTCACTGGGTGTCAGAATTCCGATCTCGGCGAGAGAACGATGAACGCACGCGAACACAAGTGGACACACAGTTTTTGGTGCTGCAAAGCGACAGCTTTTCTGTTGATTGTTTCTTACTAAATAAGCGAAGTACATGCATGATTACATGGTAACAAATGACTGAGATAATCATGGCATGCTCATGATCGGGTGTTGCCATCCCAACACCCTGGGACATGCCGCTAATGGCGCCAATTGCCTTCTACATACTAAGATTAGCGGGCTCAGGACTTATTCAAACAATCTCCTCCGAAGTCCTAGAGCAACTAAACTAAATTCTTCATGCCGATCTCACCTCGAAGCTCCTGAAACCGAACGCGCCCGAGCGCTTTATTGAGGATGTCGCCTAGCTGCAGTTCAGTGCCAACGAACTCGACGTTGATCAGCTTCCTGTCGCAGCACTCCCGGATGAAGTGGAACTTCACATCAATATGCTTACTCCGGTCATGATGCACAGGGTTCTTCATCAATGCGATGGCGGACTTGTTGTCCACCTTGAGCTTGGACACGAGGACTGCTCCTCCGATGAGCTCAGCCAGCAAGCGTGCCAGCCAAACTGCCTCGCACGCAGCTCATGCAGCCGCGATGTATTCTGCCTCGTAGGAAGACAGCGCGACTACCTTTTGCTTCGCTGACTGCCATGCAATCGGCCCACCTACAAGGAAGAAGATGAGGCCGCTGGTGCTCTTCCGGTCATTGACATCTCCAGCCAGGTCACTATCGGAGTAACCCACCAGCTTCAGAGTGCCTTCATTCTTCCTTCCGGGATGGTAGTGCAGGCCCCAATGCAACGTCCCTGCCACATAGCGTAGGACGTGCTTGAAAGCGGCGAGGTGCTCTTAACGTGGTGCCTCCATGAAGCGACTAAGATACCCCACAGCATACGCCAAGTCGGGTCTGGAGTTGCACAGGTACCTGAGGCTCCCGATGAGGCTACGGTACTCAGTAGCATCCACACTCGACGTCAACCCTTCCTTCAGCAGCTTCAGCTTCGTCTCCATGGGCGTAGTACTTGGATTGCAAGCCGCCAACCCCGTCTTCTCGAGGATCTTGATGGCATAGGCACCTTGATGGAGCGTGATCCCATGGGCTCCCTGCGTCACCTCCAGGCCGAGATAGTAGGAGAGAAGCCCAAGTTCGCTCATGCGGAAGGTGTTCATCATTTGTGCCTTGAACCTGCTCACTGCACCTGCATCACCTCCAGTGATGATTAGATCATCAACATACATGCCCACGATCAGGCGCGCTGCTCCTTTTCCATGGGTATACATCCCATGTTCGTTGATGCAGCAGGTGAAGCTGAGTCCCATCATCGAGGCGTCAAGCTTCTGGTTCCAAGCCCGTGGAGCCTGATAGAGTCCATACAGTGCTTTGTGGAGTCGAAGCACCTTGTGCTTGTGCTTCCTGTCGATGAACCCAGGGGGCTATTGGACATACACCTCCTCCTGGAGCTCCCCGTTTAGGAACGTCGATTTGATGTCCATATGATGAACGCCCCAGCCATAGTGCGCCGCGATGGCGAGGAGCAGGCGCACCAACTCCAGTCGAGCGGCAGGAGAGAACACCTCTTCGAAGTCGATGTCGGGACACTGCACGTAGCCCTTGGCGACAAGGCGGGCTTTGTACTTGACGATGCTCCCGTTCTCATCGCGCTTGACTTTGTACACCCATTTCAAGCTGATGGCGTGATGTCCGTGCGGGAGCTCCACCAGCGACCAAGTGTTGTTGTCGCGGATCGACTTCATCTCCTCCTCCATCGTGGTAGTCTAGTTTGGATCATCGCCTACATCCTTCAGGGACTTGGGCTCCTCCACACTGATGTTGTGCAGCTCGGCTTCCCCAACCTTGCGGTCAGCCAGCCCAGGCACGGCGTTCATGCCCAGAACATTGTCGAGCGTTCTGTACCGGTGCTCCACGTCCTCGTCATCATCAGTGTCGAGGTTGTTGTCGGTGGTGAGCGGCGTCACGAACTCAACCTGCACCTCCGTGGAGGCACTGGGAGTAGTTGGAGGTGGTGACACAGGCTGTACCTCTGGCGTGCGCGGGGATGCTGGCACAGGTGAAGACAAACTCACGGACCGAAGCTCCGGATGTTCCCGCCTGAGCTGGTACTCACACTCGACGGTGAACGGCTCTAGCTCAGGGCTTGCTGATGACTCACCCCACTCCCAGTGTGCGCCCTCGTCAAAGATAGCATCGCGCGAGATGTGGACACACTCCGTGCTAGGGTCGTAGAAGCGGTATGCCTTCGACCCGTCTTCGTAGCCGATGAAGACGACCTTTTGCCCGCGATCGTCAAGCTTGCTGATGTGTGGGCGGAGGCGCTTGATGTAGGCCATGCACCCGAACACTTTGAGGAAGTGTACAGGTGGCTTCTTCCCGTACCACACCTAGTACGGTGTCATCCCATTGAGCGCACTCGTCGGCGCCTGGTTGAGCAGGTAGACAGCGGTGTGCACCGCCTCTCCCTAGAAGTGCCCGGGCATGCCGTGGGCGCGCAGGATGCTCCTGGCCGTCCCCATGATCATCTAATTCTGGCGCTCTACGACGTCGTTTTGCTATGGCGAGTACAGCGCCGAGTGATGGCGTTGGATCCCTTCGCTTGCACAGTGCTCACCAAACTCAACCGAAGTGAACTCACCACCATTGTCAGTGCGAAGCACCTTCAGTTTCTTGCCAGTCTCGCGCTCGACACGAGCCTAGAATGCCATGATCGCCTTCGGCGCATCCGCCTTCATGCGCAAAAGCATGAGCCACATAAAATGGCTCATGTCATCAATGAGTAGAAGGAAGTAGACGTTCCCGGCTA